GATTAAAAAGACTACACCTAAGCTCATGAGGGTCCTCTAAAGTGATGGGGAATCTCTAAAAAATTATATTAATAGATTCAATGATGTAGTTTTTGAAATTAGTTCCTTTGACCAAGCTGTTGGAATAGCAGCTATAATTCAAGGTCTTAACCATGAAAAATTTAGAGATAGTTTGATTAAGCATCCTTTGCCACCTTTGATGAAGTTAATGATAGATCTTGGAAGTTCATAACAGCTAAAGAATATGCCCTATCATAAAAGCCAGCATTGGTTAAGAATCAAAACCCGGCTTGGAGAGAAGAGGGCCAAAGCAAGAAACAGGTGAAGACAGTTCAAAACTAAGGTTTGATGCCGACCTCTATACTGAGATTTGGAAAACCAAATTCTGTAACTCCTCATCAAACCTCAAGAAAGACAACAACTACATGGACCCCTTTTAATTTGTCAAGGTCATACATATTCATGTAGATCAAGAATAAGATGGACTTGAAGCAACCAGCACCAATGAGAAGTTCTGCTGCCACACGAGATCACACCAGATATTGCGATTTCTATCAAGATCATAGTCATACAACAGAGGAATGTAACAATCTGAAGTTCAAGCTAGAAGGTTTGGCTCAGAAGGGGATGTTGAATGAATACATTTAGAGGATAGATCGACCTAGGTTTGTAAGAGAATAAGGATTGCAGCCATAAGAGGCTAATAATGCAAGAAACAGAGGTGGAGTGGGATATCAGCAAGCATCCCCATCCCTTCCCCCCAGCTAGAGTTATTCACATGATTACGAGTGGACTGGAAGCAAGAGGCTTGAGCTCCAAATAGCGAAAGCTATATGTCAGAGAGGTGAAACACCAAAACCGAGCTCAAAAGAGAAAGTTTGACAAAGTTGAGTGGAAGAATCAGCCCATCACATTCACATCTACTAATCTAGAGGGTGTTGTAACACCCCACAATGATCCGTTGGTCACTTCTATTATGATCAACAACTGTGAGGTACAATGTGTTTTTATCGATTAGGTTAGTGCACCAGACATTATGTATTATCATTGTTTCGAGAGCTTGGGACTTGACGCGGCTCTGTTGAAGAGGTACGATGGTCCTATTTATGGTTTCAATAATCAACCAGTCTCAATTGAATGGGTCTTTACTCTTAAGTGGTGTTTGGGTGTGGCCAAAATTATGTCACCCCTTCAATTCGATTCTGAGTCGTCAAGATGTCATGTTCTTTTAATGTTGTAATTAGCTGGCCCACGTTGACAGAAATCCGAACCATAGTTTCTTAATCACATTTGTATATGAAGTTCCCCACGCCCATGGGAGTAGCGACATTAAGAGGTAACCAGGAGGTAGCTAGCATTATTATATTACCTCAATTACATAACCCCAGAAGGAGAAAAATCATATGTTAGAGACTATTCCTCAAGAAAATTTTGAAAGATAACAAGTTATAGGAGTAGAGATATTTGACAATCGGTCGGAAGATGAAACTCGAGCTACTCCGGTTGAAGATGTTGAAGAAATATGGATTGATGATAGAGATCCGAATAGGAAAACCTAGATTGGGACCCATCTGAACCTAGAAGAAAGGGTAGAATTGATAGCTTTCCTCCGAGCTAAAAAAGATGTTTTTGTCTGTACCTCTGTGGACATGCCAAGAATCCCAACCTCTGAATCTATGCACAAACTTAGCACAAATCCCTTGAAAAACCAGTTGCATAAAAACGACATCTCTTTGGGGAGGGGGGGGGAGAGACTCAAGGTGATTAAGGAAGAGGTAGAAAAACTCTTAAAAATAGGCTTTATAAAAAAAGTTGACTATTGTAAATGGGTTGCCAACTCAATGTTGGTTAGGAAAGCTAATAGCAAGTGGCGAATGTGCATTGACTACACTAATCTTAATCAAGCTTGTCCTAAAGATTGCTATCTGATACCAAATATTGACAAATTGGTTGAAGCAGCTTTTGGAAATGAGAGACTAAGTTTTCTAGATGCATATTTCGACTACCACCAAGTTCCAATGGCCTTTGAAGATGAAGAGAAGACTTCATTTTATGCAAGTGATGAAATTTACTATTATGTCATGATGTCATTTGGCTTAAAAATGCAAGTGCAACGTACCAAAAGATGGTAACCATCATGTTCAAACTTAGATTTGCATGAACTTACAAGTTTATGTTGATGACATCGTGGTGAAAAGTTTGAAAGCCCAAGACCATTTAGCTGACCTGGATGAAACTTTTACCAAATTGAGGAAGAACAGGATGTGATTAAATCCAGCAAAGTGCATCTTTGGGGTGGAGTCTAGAAAATTTATGGCTTTCTTGGTTTCCAAAAGGGAGATTAAGGTTAACTCGGAGAAGATCAAAGCAATAGAAGAGATGGGACCTTCGAAGTCAATTAAAGATGTGTAGAGGTTAATTAGGAGAGTGGCAACTCTTCTTAGATTCGTTTCGAAGTTAGCTGATAAGTGATTTCCATTCTTTAAGATCATGAGATCGGTGACTCAAAAAGATGAATATGGCAAACAAAAAAAGTTTGAATGGAGGCTAGAATGCCAAGCTGCATTCGACTAGCTTAAATCCTATCTTAGCTCACCTCCATTATTGACAAAAGCTATTGATAGGGAGATCCTTTACTTGTATCTTGGAATCTTAGATGAAGCAGTCAATTCTGTGTTAATGAAAGAAAAGGGAAAGTAGCATAAACCAATTTATTATACTAGCAGAGTACTACATGGGGTAGAGTAGAGATATTCTATTGTTGAGAAAGCAACATTAGAAGTTGTTACTTCAACTAGAAAACTGAGGCCATATTTTCAGTCACACCCAATTATTGTCCTCATAGACCAACCGTTTCGGCAAATCTTATAGAAGCTAAAGTGCTCAGGCAGGTTAATCAAATGGGCGGTTGAGTTAGGGGAATTTGAGATAATATTCTAACAGAGGTCAGCAATTTGAGCTCAAGCATTGGCAAACTTCATTGTGGAATGCACCTCTGATTAGTCAAGTTCGAATCCTGAGCCAGATATGTGGGTTTTATATGTTGATGAAGCATCAAACAACAGAGGGTCAAAAGTCGGAGTAGTCGTGGTGGGGCCAAATGACTACTGAACTGAGCACGCTTTGAAGTTTAATTTTGATGCAACTAATAATGTGGCTAAATACGAAGCTTTGCTACTCGATCTGCAACTGGCGTTGGAGTTGAAAGTCACAACAATATAGATTTACAATGATTCACAACTCGTGGTTAATCAAGTCAACTCAGTTTATGAGATAGTCGATCCCACTTTGATGAAGTATGTAGCTTGAGTGGCTGAGCTCAAGTGCAAATTCGAGAAATTTATCTTAACAAAATACCTCGATTTGAAAATGAGCAACCAGATTCACTTTCTAAGTTTGCATTTGATAGTTCTCGAGACACGAGATCAGTTTTTGTTGAGGTTCTAGATGAGCCCAGCTTCCAAAAGCCAAAGATGATAGAAATCAATACAGATCCGAACACACCGAGCTAGATAGGCCCTATTAAGTCTTTGTTACAAGATGGTTTAGTTCTTGAAGATAAGCAAGAAGAAATGAGATTGAGAAAAATGCCATCTCGATATTCCTTAATTGATGGAATCCTATATACGAGGTTTTTCTCACTCCTTTTGCTCCGTTGCTTGAGCCCTTATGAAGCTGAATATGCACTTTCGGAGGTACATAAAGGCATTTGTGGAAGTCATGTTGGTGCTCATACTTTGGCTCATAAAGTTCTCAAGGATATTACTGGCCTAATATGCAGAAGGATGCTATAGAATTCGTACAGAGGTGGTTGAAGTGCTAGTTCTTCACCCATTTGACTCACCAACCAATGGAAGAGCTCACAAATTTGGTAGCACCATGGCCATTTACTTAGTGGGGACTTGATCTCTTGGGCCCATTTGTGAAAAAAGTTGGGGGAGTAACATACTTGATGGTTAGAGTTGATTATTTTACAAAATGGGTCAAAACTCGGTCGTTATCCAACCTTACCTCTAAGAAAATTGACTTTGTCTTTAGTTTGATTATCTGCAGATATGGGATCCCGAATCAAATTGTTCCTAACAATGGAACTCAATTTAACCGCACCTCATTTAGAGATTTCTACTCCAGTTATGGAATCAAAATACAATTTACCTCAATATATCACCCGATGTCTAATGGTATGGTGGAATCCGTCAATAAAGCTATTCTAAAAGGAATAAAATTGAGGTTGGAGTAGCATAAGGCCAAGTGGGTAGACGAGCTCAACAACGTGCTATAGGCATACAAAACTACAAGCCAAACTGCCACAAGTACCATTTCCTAACCCCATATACTTTCACGTTGCTTTATTTCCTTTTCTGTTGCTTCATTTTAAGTAAAATATATAAAATATATAAAGCATTTACTAAAATAATAACTTAATGAAAAAGGTGAAACACCATACCACTGAGCCTTTGGTATCGAAGAAGTCATTCCTATTGAGATAAAAGTCCAAAGTTTTAAGGTCACCCATTTCGATGAAAGACGAAATGAACAATTGCTTTGTGAAAACCTTGACCTGCTTGACGAAGTCAAAGAGAAAGCCTGACTTCAAACTTTGTCATACAAGCAGAAATTAGCCAACTTCTACAACAAACAAGTTCGTCCTCAAACATTTAGAGTTGGTGACCTTGTTCTAAAGAAAGTTGGTCTTTCAGGGTTTGAAACTTGATTTGGCAAGCTAGCCCCAAACTGGGAAGGTCCTTATACCATGGCCGAAGTGCCACACTTAGGTGCTTACATCCTCCACAACGCTGAGGGAAAAAGAATTCCTAGAGTCTGAAATGTTAATAATCTAAAGAAGTTTTATCCTTAATTCATCTTTTTGAGTTGCCTTTGAGTCAATTTTGTCCAGTTTTACTTCACATCTCTTAATTCTTATATTTGAGATGAATTTGTTATATAGTTCATTTCTTGAACATATATTCCATTAATATGAATTTCACCTCATGTTTGAGGCGAACTTAGACTCTATTTCAATCTTTATCATAAATAATTATAACATAACTAAATGAATATAATAAATCACAAATGAATTAATAACATAAATGTGAAGATAAATTACAATAATCCTTCAAATAAATTGCTCAAATATCAAAACAAAACAAATAAAGGCTCGCGACTCTGCTGGTGGAGGTTGCTGGTTGACTTCTTACTCTAGTTTGTTCTCTCTCAAACCTCAGCACCCCCAACCTCAGCACTTCTGACTTATGGTTCTCCCTCCTCAATTGCAACAAACTTGAAGTTGAAGTTCAGAGGAAAAATGGTACAATTTTCACTGTTGTGATCCCATTTTAGCTCGACTTCAAGACAAAAGTCAGCTATCATGCTCTCACCATTTTCCTCCACTCCTCTTTCTTGCTCCCCAAAGGTGACACCAGTCACATCCAGTTTAGGATGTTGTGTTTTCACTTTCTTTCTACAGTCAGAGAAAGCTAGAATAGCCGTGGGAAGTCAGTAGAGATTCACAATGTTGTCAAAGGTGCTAGACTTCAAGAACTCAACGATGTGATTCTCCATCACGTAGTGCACCAATAGATTCACCTTCTTCTTCAGCTTAGTAGCAGCCTTCTTTATTCCTTCAATCTCCTTCTCCTAAGCTTCTATCTTCTCCTCACACATCTTCCTCTTCCTCTCCTCAAACACGAGCTTCATCTTCAATGAATCATTCTCCTCTTGAAGCCGCACGAGCTCTAGCATAGCCTTTGCTAGATCCTTCTCTACCTCCTCCTTCTTCTTCCCCAAATCCTCATTTTCCTTTGCCAAGGTGTTACGTTCCTTGAGGGTTTCAAAAAATTCCTACGATAATGCATTCACCAAGTTTGCAGCCTATAATATCCACAACAATTAGAAACTAAATAAATAAATAAATAGAAAAAAGAAACTATGGTTACAAAACCCAACCATACCTCAAGGACATGCCGAACAATCCCAACCCTACCATGACTTAGCACTTCTTCCCTCGCTCGGCGACGATCCACCTTAGGAAATGTTGAGTTTATAAACCTCTTCTCAACTGTTATGCTCTTTATGCCAAATAAACTAGCTTGCTACGAAAAAGCAGGAACAAGGGTTTTCCCTTTTTTGTGGGTTATAACTCCAACCTCCTTAAGCTCTGGATCGAGCTCAATTGGGGGAGGACAAAGTACGAACTCAACCACTTCATCCCCTTTACTCTCATGTGCTTCCACTCTCATCCTCTTTTGAATACGCCCAGCTTCCTCACTTCCCTTCTACTTGAGCTTTGGCCTTGGCCCCTTCACACTTGGAGCTTGGATTGAGGTACTGGAAAAATGCCCCTTTTCTTTGCCTTCAGCTCCCCCTTGACTTGTAGTAGCTACAGAAGTCTTTGACTTCTTTTGTGGCTTCTTAGGGATTACCACCCCCCTAGCTGTGGAAAGGAACTTGTCCATCTCGGTTACAAAATAGTAAAATGTTAAAATAACGATCAGAGCCTCACTTCAAATTATATCATATAAAATAAAACACACCTTCATTCAAAGAGCTTGCTCCGTAAAGCTCAGCCGCCTCCACAACAGTTGAGTTGGCGAGATACATGATGTCTACACCATCAATTCCCTTTTTCACCAACTTCTCTATCTCCTCCTCTTCATCCCTATTCAGACTATACTTATTCTGATTTGCTTTCTTCGCATTCCAAGTAGACAAAAATTCCACTTCTGCATCTCTCCTCCCCCACTCAATGTCATCAACAAAAAAGAATTTTTCCTTCCATCCTTTAATAGATGACAGCCCTAAACTAAATAAATTTCTCTTTTCCTTATTAAACACTCAGGGGGTAAAGTAGTACCAACCTTTCTCCTTCTTACTTCCACCCTTTATGACAAAGAAATATTTAAACATATTTACAGTGGACACTTTAACACCCCGAGCCTGACAGTAAACTAAAAACCCTATCACTACCCTTATGGCATTTAGGGCTAGTTGTGCTAAAATCATACTATAATCCAACAGCAACCCAACTAGGATTTCAAGGATAGGAAACCTCAGCCCTGTTGATAAATACTGGGCATAAATGGGCATCTAATGATTCTGGGGTGCTAAGCATGCCCTCTCCTCCACTCCGGCTAGCCTAATCAGCACTTAAGAAGGGAGGTCATACGTTTCAACTATGTGAATCAAGCTCTCCCTACTTAGGCATTCAGTCTCATACCCCATTACTTCAAACACATTGTCTGCCTCCACATCATAACACATATCCCTCCCACCCTTAACTTCTAAAATATTCGAAGGGATCCCCTCCCCCTTTCCTTCACCCACCTCTTCCCCACCCATATCCTCCTCTGTGCTCTCTGACCCAAACAATTCAGTCTCTATACCAATGTTTTCGAGTGCCTTCACTTCCTCACTTCTCCCAGCACTTAATGTTTCCTCTGATGACATATCTTCTGTTTTGTAACTCTCGTTGCACGGAGTAGGAGGAGGGATGTAGTTAGGACCTTTAGTAAATTCTAACTCACATTCCATGTCACTCTCACTTATAAACCTAGCCTTTTTAAAAGGACTTAAGTCTAAATCAGAAAGGGTGAAAAGAGAATCAAAATCTTCACTAGAGTTAGAATCAACAAAACTCATAAGTTACTTGATCTTGGTAATGCAGAACTTGGTGTTGAATCCAAATATACCACGTGCAAGAGTTTGGATGTCGAATTAGCTCTGTTGAACTTTTAGCAACACTTCAGTAGTAAATACAGCAAAATAATAAAAATTTAGACAAGTTTGGCTATATATACTGATATGTGTTTTGGCATCAATAGCCATGATTAATCCTATCCAACAGTCTTAATTATGCCGTTTTGAATTCGATAGTTAATCCATAATGGAACCCTTTTGAATTCAACGGTTCGTTTTGGTCACATTCGGTAAAGATGTGATGGTTACTTTTTGTAGCCTATATTTATTATGTACATCTTTCAAGGACAACTGTCGTATTGCATATTAATCTTTTGTCAGGCTTATTACGTGGGCTCAACCAAGCCCAACCCAAGTATTTTTTGTTTAGACTAATATACCTACAAGTGTTGTACCTCTAATTTTCAACTCATGCATTTTCACTTCGACTATGGCCATAAAAACATAACTACGGGTCATGCATTTTCACTTCGGCTACGGCCACAAAAACATGACAACTCGTCATGCATTTTCACTTCGACTACGGCCACAAAAACATGACTATGTATCATGCCTTTCACTTTAGCTACAGCCAAAAAAACATGACTATGTGTCATGCATTTTCACTTCGACTACAGCCATAAAAGCATGACTGCATGTCATGCACATTTACTTCAATTACAGCCAAAGTCATACAACTACATGTCAAGGATTTTTGCTTCAATTATGGTAATAATAACAAGATTTCATATCATGCAATTTCCACTAATTAAATCTCCAACAATTAGACACGATACTTACTACCTTCACCAACATCATTCACAAGTGAGTGACTTTGGGGGGGAATAGTGTAAGGATAAGTCCAAGATTAATAATCTCAGACAACCTGTTGCGATTTCTTAATAACTGAGATACAGTGTAAGTCCAGTTCTTCCCAATCACACAGTTGCATGGAAACTATAATAAGCATGCCCGTATCCAATCCCTTGTTCTTGAGATCATCGCTTGATTGGACACATCAGACCTTGATTTTGTCGTTAAGCAAGTCATGTGAATACTTCATTAAGACCTATAAATACCTCTATGGGTCATCTAAAAAAGGTAATTGAAACTAAAAACTTCTTTTACCGTTTTTTCATAAGGTAAACCAGATTATTGCTGATTTAGGCATCGGAGTGTCTATTTCGAGGACCCACATTGGGGCTTTATAGGCTTATTTGAAGAAAAGATCTGGATTGAAGGAGACTTAGTAGTTCTTTGCAATTACAAGAACTTTCAAATTTTAATTTTTAAGTAAACCATTTTAGATAGCTTGTTTTATCTTATAATTTGAATATGTAACCGCTTCAATTTTTTTTATTTCTAAAATATGAACTTCATATATTTTTGGATTTTAATTTTCTACATTGTTGACGACCATTTTTTTTCAATAAATAAAAAGAAAGAAAAAGTGGTCGTCAACTTTGTAAACAGTGGCAGCGTATGAGCAGGTAAGCTATTGTTGCCGGCCCAAATTCCCATCTAAAGTAGTGTAATGTCAAATGGCCCAATGATTGATGATGGTTGATTGATTCACCCTCCTTTGGTCAATTTTGTAGATTTTCTTACAATTAGATGAAAACGCATGCCAATAATTCCTTCTCAAAGTGGTTAGGTGTAGTTAATTGAGAGTTGACTTTTATCAATCACTTTAAAAAAATTCTCCTCCCTTAAATTCCTTCATGTTCAAACAAAAAAAAAAAGAGAGCAAATTTTCAAAAAAAACAAAAGAATCCTAATGTTATAGTGATTATTATTATTATTTTTTGTATTAAGAATGTTTCTCTATTAATTTTTATATAATTAGAGATTAATTTTTTAAAAATAATTTTAAAGGAGTACTTTGCATTAATTTTATGTAATTAAAAAATTAATTTTTTAATTATTCATTAAATAAACTTAAAAATTAAATTAATTTATAAATTGAC